TTCCTCACTGCACACTAAATTCCTCTTGCAGACAAGTGTTCCGTTCACTGGGATGATTTCTGACTTGCATTAACCTAAGTGAGACTGCATTGCTATATAGCTGAACCGATAGTGTTGCAAGGATAGAGTCATTACAATAGAGGCAAAAGCCTTAAATCAAAATCCTGACTTAAGCCTAGCGACATCCATGCTTCCACGTCAGGCTTTGCTGGTCCAGTTCACAAGGACACATCTATGCATCCTGCCATGACTCATTCCCATTTTCAGCCCATCGTTCATGCCACTGGTGTCAGGAAAACAACTTGGATTAAAAAGTAACTCTCAAAAAATGTCGTGAATGTTTCTAATCCCAGTCATCCTGTTAGTCTGGTGCAGAGAGCAGCCCTAGGAGCAGGAGCCTTGGGAGCAGCAGGCAAGCAGCAGGCTCAGGTAGGAGAGGAGGAGCATAACAAAGGATGAGAAGGACCTCTCTCTCCAGCTCTGCTGCCAGAGCAGCCTGTTGCTGGAGAAGTGGCTGGAGAAGAAAGTGCTGGAGAAGAAAGCTGGAGCTTTCTGTGCTTGTACTGGGGCTTTGTGAACTGGAATGCTGCTGGTCAGTGGGCATCATCCATGCTAGTGTGACATTCATCATGGCTGAGGCAGAGATCAGAGGGCATTAAGCTTTGTGTGCAGCTGTCCTAAAATGGGATGAATTAAATTAATTGCCCATACAATGCTGCCTTCCAAAGGAAGTGCAAAGAATGCAACGTCAGGGCCTTAAGGGAGATTTTATTCAGAGTGCTTTTGCTCACGTATCAAATACACGCACAGGCACACAACCTTGCAAAGAGCAAGAACAAAACAAGACCCTCAGTGTGCTGTTATTATGTGACTTCATAGATAGGTAAAACTGCAATGAACCAAAACTTCACTCTAAGTCATTCCCCATGCTTTCTCCCACTGGAAGAATCTGTTTGAATACTCAGACTTCCTCTTACTGTGATAAGATCAAAACCCCCCAACTTCATTTGCTTTTAATGCCAGCCTGAAGCCTCAGCTGCCAGATGCCTCTTACTTGAGCAACCACTTGGAGGAAGAAAGGAAGCACTTCTTTTCCAATATTTTAAAATGGTGCTAAAAGGAATGGTCACAGTGCCTGTACATAAAGTACTGTTTAAAATTATATAAGTAACAATAATAATAAGTAGTAGAAAATGTTGCCTTCGCTTTCACAACTCCCCACAAGATTTTTTTTCTCTCGTGCGCACTCTACACTGATTTTGCAGAGCATGTGTAGTTGATCCTGAAGGAGACTAATGAAACTTTTTATAGCATTTTCAGGCTACTCATAAACGCACTCTATTGAACCTAGGAATCACTTGTTGTTTTTATGACTGATATTGTTATTATTTTCTAAAGTTAAAAATAGCCCATGCTAAATTTAAGGTCCTCCAAAGTAATATGTAACTGTGGCTATGCTCTGTGGGTTTTTTTTTGTCTACAAAGTCATAATTTCTGTCCTCAGTTGTCCAAGACATGTGGTAGGGGTATCCGCTACAATGAAAAGTAGTAGAACAGGACAGCATGCACAAAAAGGTTTTGGTCCCTATTTCTTCCAATACCTTTCTCATATTCCTATAACATTTTCATTTGCCCATTCAGAATCTCTTTTCCATAAAATAATCCAGTCCTTCCTTGTACTCTGTGTTCTCAGAGCATAGTTGTACAGCCTGACTGTAGGGCACGACCAGTGAATCATAATAGCAAATGTCAACAGCAAAAGATCTCCAATAGCCCATTAGCTGTTTGAGTTCATATTTGTTATTTACTGAGTGATGGTGAATAATGAACAAATTGCTGCAAATCATTACAGATTTGTGGCTAAGTCGCTAGTAAAAAGGGAAAATCGGTTAAAGTAATTACATAATTTATTTGCAATGGAAAAATTGCCTTGTTCTCATTAATATTATATAGGTTAGACATAGCACTAGCAAGAGAATAAAATCAGTTAGGGATGCAAAAAATGGAAACTAAATTTAGAGGAGAGTGAAAGAAATTCTCAGAAAATGCCTCCATGAACCAATTATCAGCCCTAATCTCTGTTATTGAGACCTGTACAAGCATCAGACAGTGCTGCAGATAGTCATTCCAAGTTTTGCATGTAGTCAGTAGTTAGATGAGTACATTAAGTTAGGTACATCTCATGATAGCTAAATCTTTGGTCAGCCATCCTAATTTGTGTATGAGTTCAGATTTCATTTTTTACTTGTAGCATATGGGGTCGGGCCAGTATGCAAGTCTGCTGGCCATCCAGACAGGCCTTCCAAGAGGTAAATCAGAATTCTGTAGCTGTTGTACAAATGGGCAGAGGAGTCCGAGAGTGTGCCTTTGAAGGAAAATGACAGTTCCCAGCACACAGATTGAGTAGTGAGGGGCCGAGCCTAAAATAGAATGGTATCTAACTATTTTTCCATTGGCTTTGCGAAGCACACGAGGGGATGCCTCTCCATGCATTTGCTTGAACCGTCCTCCAAATCAATTGCCATTTTAGGATAGTCTCAAAGACTGTGTAGAAGCGAGTGATGTCCTGAAAGTGTTTTTATGTTTCATCTTTAAAGAAAATACAGGGTATCAGGAGTTATCTTATCAGACATTATGCAAAATCTTATGACAGATAAAAAATCTTGCTCAGTTTCATATCTAATTAGCTCTAATATTTTTTTCATTGCAAAGTCAAAGGCTGTCCGAATTAATGCAGCTATCAGAATATTTTTAGTCAGGAGCCTATTAATGCTGAAATGTTGTTTTGCAAAAACGTGCTATAACTAAAGCTCATGATGGAAGTAATTTGTAATATTCAATGACCTCATTTTATACTGTTTTGCTCACTAGAAGCTAATGCATACGATGCCATGTGAAATTTTCAGAGAAGCCTGTCTGCAGGACTTATGGGAGCCATAAATGGATTAAACCTCTCACTCCCTGCTTTGGCAAGTGATCAGTTACATTTAAATAAAGGTCAGTCTGTCTTTACAAAGAACACACTGGAAGCAAGCTTAATAGCTTTCCCTACTGAGCCTAGAACATAACTATTTGAAGCATAATTAACAGCAGGGTGCCAGTCACTGATTGTGCTTTTTGCTTTATTTTACGTCTGGGGAGTTCCAGTATTCCCCATTAGTTTTAAGAGAGGGCACAGTGCTAGTTATCAAATTGACAGTCTTGACCTGGCATCTGAAAGCAGCTGTAAAACATTGCTTAGGGCAATTAAGATGAAGGCCAAATGCCACATCAAGACCAGGACTGTAATATTGCTACAAATTGGACAGTCGTGTTCCATGCCATGATTCCAAACAACAGTGTAGGCATGGTATCTGCTAGATGCGAGAGTGCGGACTTGCTTACTCTCATACCAGGTGATAGTGATAAGGAAGTAAACCAGATGTCCTATTACCTTGTCTTTAAAGGTACTGACCAAAAAGGGTTACTTTGTAAAGTGAATTAAATATTTAGCCCAGTTAAGGGCACAGTATGTCCTGATTCCTGAGGATATCCCATTTGTTTAGGGTTTCTTGACTGATATTTGTAGCCTCTCTGTCAAAAGTGATAACCATCTACATGTGAAGAGAACATGGCCGACAGAACAATTTTGGTAGCCTGCAGACAGCCTGAAGTTCTAATGGAGATCTGTGAATTACCCTGACCTGCTGGACTGGAGCACCAACTTGAGCAGCCCTGTGGCTGCACTTCACTGTCGTCGGTGACTAATTCTGCTCTGATCATTTCATCTAATGCTACCAGAAAATGGGTAAGAGCAAAGTGCTGGGTACTGGCTTGTGAGAATTTCTGGAGATAGGACAAGAGCAAACTGGAAAGGTAAAGAAAGGACAGGGAAAAAAAAAAAACAAAAACAAACAAGGGAGAAAAGACAGTGAATAGGGTAGGATTCAATGGAAAGCAGCTGTTATAACATATGAGTATTAAAGTCTTACACTTTAGTTAAGGCTGTATTTTTTCCTTTCACCTCTGTGTAAAACCAACTTTCATCTCATCTAGTCTCATCTGATTCCTGCTTGATGACTGCACTCCTAACTCAAGTCTACTATGAGTGAGCAGAGGTCAGTAGCCCCAGACTGCATCTTTGTTATCAGTCATAAAATAGGAACCAGAAGAGAAGGATGGCCAACAGGAGATTAAAATAAAACCATTCAATTTTCTCAGTTTGTCTGCACTTCGAAGTTACCTGCAGGGTTTTAGTTCTGCTGGTTGTTATTTATTTCTTTTCGTGAACACAATGTCCATTTTAAGAGTTAATTAATTAATTACAAAATATACGAATTGTCGAGGGAAAAAGAGCTGCATTTGGTTTCACAAATCCTTAGACGTGCTGAAGTAAGAAAACTAATGCCTTAAGCAGTTTCATTTCAATTCTGCATTTCTTCCTCTCTAAAAGTTATTTGTGCTTTTCTTTCTTTGTTCCATTTCTAGGATTTCTTTTTCCTGATGGAAAATCTGTATAGGAAGCGGAGAAGTCAGTGACTGATTTACTTGACAGAATTCAGCTTATATGAAGGTTTCATTTTTTGCAGTCATTCTACAAAGCAGCCAACTAATGCTCTGCTTCCAGCATTGGCACTTCAAGGTCATATTTCTTTGTTTCCACCACAGGTCAGATTCCATCACCAAGAAAAACTAATTTCAAAGCATCTTCCATCACAGGCACTCCAAAATATTGAAACAGAACAGCCAGCCAGAGAAAATACTTTTTTCTTTAACCCATCAACCCTGCATCAGTGAAGCAGAACTCTCTTCTAGCTCTGGCAGTAAGGTTTGCTAGTCAGGTAGCAAACACGCTTCAGTGGCTTAGAGCTCCATAATATTTTCTCTCTTCTGCAGGATGCTTACCTCAAGAATTGTTAACATCCAGGTGTATCTCCTTGGAGCCTTTTAGTATGTCCATGTTACCTTTTTCCACATGTTTATTTGAGTACTTTAAATACTTGCTTTGTTCTCTGTTGTAGGTCATGGGTTATATGGGACTTTTGAAATGTTGTCCTCCTGGAGAAAAACTAGAGAAGACCAACATGTTAAAGAGAGGACTGCAGCCGTATTTGCAGACTCCATGCTCTCGTTTTCCCTCACCACTGCCATGTACCTGGTCACTTTTGGAATAGGTGCCAGTCCCTTCACTAACATTGAAGCAGCCAGGATTTTCTGCTGCAATTCCTGTATTGCAATTTTCTTCAACTACCTCTATGTACTCTCCTTTTATGGTTCCAGCCTGGTGTTTACTGGCTACATAGAAAACAACTACCAGCATAGTATCTTCTGTAGAAAGGTACCAAAGCCAGAGGTATTGCAAGAGAAGCCTGCATGGTATAGGTTTCTTCTGACAGCCAGATTCAGTGAGGACACAACGGATTCAGAGGAAACGAACACTTATGAGAGTCATCTTTTGGTGTGGTTCCTTAAACGCTATTATTGTGACTGGATAACAAACACTTACGTCAAGCCTTTTGTAGTTCTCTTTTACCTTGTTTATATTTCCTTTGCCTTAATGGGCTACCTGCAGGTCAGTGAAGGGTCAGACCTGAGCAACATCGTAGCGACCGCTACACGGACCATTGAGTATACGACTGCCCAGCAGAAGTATTTCAGTAACTATAGCCCGGTGATTGGGTTCTACATCTATGAGTCGATAGAATACTGGAACACCAGTGTCCAGGAGGACGTGCTGGAGTATACCAAGGGCTTTGTGAGGATATCTTGGTTTGAGAGCTACTTAAATTACCTTCGGAAACTCAACATATCTACTGGATTGCCCAAGAAAAATTTCACTGATATGTTGAGGAACTCCTTCTTGAAAGCCCCTCAGTTTGCCCATTTTTCAGAGGATATCATCTTTTCCAAGAAATACAACAATGAAGTTGATGTCGTGGCCTCCAGAATGTTCCTGGTGGCCAAGACAATGGAATCCAAGAGGGAAGAACTTTACGACCTCCTGGAAACCCTGAGGAAGCTCTCTCTCACCTCCAAGGTGAAATTCATCGTTTTCAATCCATCATTTGTGTACATGGATCGTTATGCCTCTTCAGTGGGAGCCCCCTTACAAAACTCCTGCATTAGTGCTTTATTTCTGCTCTTCTTCTCTGCATTCCTGGTGGCAGACTCTCTGATCAATGTATGGCTCACTCTAACTGTTGCCTCGGTTGAGTTTGGAGTTATAGGTTTTATGACCTTGTGGAAAGTGGAACTAGATTGTATTTCTGTGTTGTGCTTGATTTACGGAATTAATTATACAATTGACAACTGTGCTCCACTGTTATCAACCTTTGTCCTGGGCAAAGAGTTCACAAGAACTAAATGGGTGAAAAATGCCCTGGAAGTGCATGGGGTAGCTATTTTGCAGAGCTACCTCTGCTATATTGTTGGTCTGATTCCTCTTGCAGCTGTGCCTTCAAATCTGACCCGTACACTGTTCAGGTGCTTGTTTTTAATAGCATTAGTCACCTTCTTTCACTGCTTTGCCATTTTACCTGTGATATTGACTTTTCTGCCACCGTCCAAGAAGAAGAGGAAAGAGAAGAAGAATCCTGAAAACCGTGAGGAAATAGAGTGTGTTGAAATGGTGGATATGGATAGCACTCGAGTGGTTGACCAAATTACAACAGTCTAACTTGTTTGTTTGTTGCTTTTTTACAGTAGGTCTTACTGAGAAAAAAATAAACCAGTACTGACTCAGTATCTGGGGAGAGAAAGGGGTTTGGAGGTTTCTCCTCCCCCCTCTAAGCTAAATCCAGGAATATTCAAAATGAGAAATTTTAAAAGAAAATAAAAGAGCCAGGGGATTGCACCTTGATCAGCTCCACTAACAGGTATTACGAGAGAATTTGCACACCTGTGCAAAGAGGGGATGAATTTCAGACGCGTGAAGTAAAATCTAATGAGAGAGGTTGGGTTCCTAAGCAGCCTTATGCATTGCCTGTGCTGCAGATACTGCAATTATTGTTGCTAAACCCTATCAGATTGAAAGGTCAGCTGTCAAGGATGAAGTAGCACTAAGTATTTGCTGGATGTAAAGGCTTTACAAACTTTCTGCAAAGCAATAACTCAAGTCAGTGAGTCCACTCTTATAGGTCTTAGCCATCATGGTTAATTTTTCTTTTCTCCCCTAATCTAAACATTTATGCAAGACTGTATAACAGATAGCAAACTGTACTGAGAAAGAAGGCAGTACACAGCAACCAAACACTTTCCAAACACTTTTATGCTATAAATCACTTTTTTTTTTTCTAAAAATATCCTTATTTTAAAATGTAAATCATCCTGCGTAACATTTTTAATCATGGTTTTATAGCTGTTTCTTTTTCTTATAAAAACAAAAAAAGAACAAAAAAAAAAAAAAAAAAAAAACAACCAGAAAATCCCAGTGACTCTGTCACTGTAGAAACCATATAACTCTATTTTATAAATGTCTCGCTACTAGCTAAACACGTAACCTGCTTTACCAACTGTAACCTTGTTAGCACTCTACTAATACATGCGAGCGGATCTAGCAGCAGACAGAAGACGGTGTACTGGATATTTCAGCACCAAAATCCATGATGCAAACCTCATGTACTAAAACGTTGCCGAGAAAGTGAATGTTAGGGCTCTTTTGGTAAGAGCCTATTTCAGGCCATTCACTAGTAATGCACACTAAAAGGATTAGTAGGTAGTTTTATGTAATGTGTAATTTAATCCCTCCATCTTCCTGGAGTACCAGTAAAGCAATAGACCTGACAGCTATGGGCTCTTCCAAGAGATAGCAGATCCTGAGAGTTGTACATAGCAAACTGAAGTTTAATACTAGCAAGTTGAACAGTGTCCCCAAAGAGCCCATGTCAAAGCAGCCTATTGGAAACATCGCATCCAAGTGAAAAAAAGAAAAAAAAAAAAGAAGGAAAAAAAAAGTACCTTAAAAAGATTACGTTACTGGTTCTTGTTGGAGCTGTGAGTTCTAAATAATTCCATCAGCATCTCTGATATGGAGTAATACAGATAACAAAGCATTTCTTCCCACCCTGCACCCCTCCACCCCTCAGAACTACATAATTATTACTCAGTGGTTTGTTACCGGGTTGGGATACATGAGCCAATTCTCTGGGTTTTGCTGAGAGTGCTCCAGCTATAAATGGCCTGCAAAAAAACCATCTGCAGGAAGCTGACATGTACGTCAGGCAGTCTCATGAATGTACGGACCCAAGAGTGCTGCACAAGCTGGCGTGGTGCTTGCCAGTGCCTGGAGGTCATCGGGTCCTGCAGGAGCCCTGGTGCTCGGCTGCAGGGCACCAGCATTGCACAGACTTAGCACAGCTCTGGCCGCAGACTGGGGGTGCTGCTTTGTGTGAAGCAGCTCTATAGCGTCAAGTCCCAGCCACCCCCATGCAAAATGCACTAAGGCCACCTTGTGAATGTTAAATTTCAAGCGAGCAGATACTTCTAGAGCTTCCTCCCTCGCAGATGAGAGATATTTTGCCCTCCCTGAGGCAATCTGTTGCGTTCTGAGTAGCAAAACAAGTTGGCAGTGCAGCTGGCAGCATTTGCCTTCCCCTGCATAACTCCTCTCTGACCAGAAGAGAAGGAAGCTGAGTCCAGGAATGCACAGGCTCTTTGCTTGAACGAGCACTATTTGCTGCAGTACCAGCTGAGAAGCAGTAACCACATCAGCCTTGGCAGAAGTCAGACAGGCAGACAATTCAGAGACAGCCAAGTGAATGTGAGGTGAGGGGACAGGCCTTTTTCCCCTCCTTAGACTCAGGTGTGGGGCTATGTTTTTAAGCCAGAAATCATTCCTCCCATGTATTTCCACTGTAGAATTTCTGTGGCAGTCATTATGTCATTTCAATTACAATTTCCCTATGTTCTGACTGTTCAACAGGCAACTGCAGTGGCTTTTAAAATTCAGATGGCATTAACTCAGTTGAGAGCTACAGAGGAATTGCAAACTGTTTCTGACAGCAGCAATCTACTGGCTTGTGGGACTCCTGGAAACGGGAGACATGTGAAAGAGTTGGTTTGTACATGGTAGAGAGAAATACATGGCAAACACTGATTTGACACCTCTGCTACCCCTCGTGCTATCACTTGCAAACACTGGATGCAAGGGGAGCTTCCGTAAGCCTTTCACATCTAATTGAAATGCATAGATAGGAGAGTCTTTAAAGAGATGTCCAATGACAAGCTTGTACTTTCAAAGATATCATTAAATCTCAGCATGAGAGGCCTTCAGAGATCTTCAAAAAAAGCGATAAAACCCGTGATAAAATTGCCTTTCTGTCTTCAGATCTGTTGGGGAAAGTGTATGGAGGCAGTGCCATGGCAAAGTGCCACAGTACATGCTTGGGTGAGTGGAAGACCACATCTTTGCCCCAAGGGAGAGCTAATGATATTGAAGTTGTTTCTGAGGGATATTTACCCAACCCATTCTAAAAATCTGTTTAAAGGCAGATTCCTCCCCCACCAGGTCTTCTGAGCATCTTGTTACTCACCAGTTATTCATGCTGGCTGCCCACAGGTGGGATGGGGAAGGTGATCCATGCCACTCTCTGCATAGAGAAGTCCATGTCAGGTGAGAGGCAGTTTCTGAAGCCTCACTGCCCCCTAGAAACCCAAAACAGAAACAAAACCAACTTACATACCTGCTTCATCATGTTTCACCTCAAGCTGACCTTCCATTCCCCGCTTGTAGGCTTGGTGATCTGAAGTCATGAAAATGCTTAGGGTGTTCTTGGCCAAAGTCTATGAGATTCCTGCCTGAATCCTGATGTTTCTAATAGACAACAAATGTTCCTGCTCTACAGGTAGTCCAAATACCTCAACATGAACCCCAAACAGCACGTTCTCAAGGTCTCAGACTATGCTAACTCACTTTGCCTTCCTTCCCATAGGCTTTTTCCTCTGGAGCAATTATCTCCACCAAAGTCAATTGGTATGTGCCACATCCATTGATACAGGTGCAGGTACTATGTGCTCTGTTCTCAGTCCAAAGCACTCCAAATGGCAAACTGTGCATCAGTTTTACCCTCACTGGTGAGCCTCCGTTTGGAAGACTACCTAGGTTTAAGAAGTTTTTGTCACCCTCTTAAGAGGCTTTCTAGCCCAGGTTTCACTGTGGTTTTGTTTACAATAGAGATGACCCACTTTTTGTATACATTCAGTAACAGTATTTATTATACACTGCCAGGCACTGACTAAAATTTAACAGCAAAAATTTTGACTACAGCAAAAGAGAATATATAGGACTGTGGCTCACTGAGAGCATTTATCTTCTACAAACATTAAAATTTCCATACAATAAGGTATGGTGTACAGTATATTTTTACTACAGGGTAAACATGGGAAAAAAGAACCAACTTAAGTGCATATGACCACTAACACCACTCCAGTTTTCTTGTAAGATATTTTCTAACGTTGGCTTAGTACAAGCCCATTTTCAATTTACAAGTTCCCTAACTGGAAGAAAAAATGAAGAGAGAAAAGTTGGTATAGCTGGAATAATTTCACCATAAAAATTAAGTGATGAAGCCAGAATTTTCTGCCCAAAGCTTTAAGTGAAATTGTTCCACTTAAATTAAAATTGGAGCTGTGAAGGCTGAGAAAAACCTGCCTAGCAAAGAAAAAGAACTTCTTTTCAGAGGCAAAGCAAACGCATTTATCTTGGACAACTGCATGAACCCGGAGGGAAAACAACACCAGAGTGGCTTGAGGTTGCGTTGAGCCATGTGAGGATTCGCATCTGCTCTCAGAAGCTTTCTGAGCCAGCACTGCATTCAGGTAACATGCGTACTGTAAATTGAAAGGTGTACTTTTAAAGGCTTTTCTCTGGGCTAGCTGTCCTCCAGCAAGCCACCAAATCCCACCACAGCCAACACCTCATTTATTTTTATTAACCGAGGAAACAAAACACAGCAGCGGCACAACTGAGAAAATTCAGGAGAGGGAGAAAGAAGCTGTGATTTCTCTTTTAAACAGGAAGAAAGTTAGAAATGAGCTCTTTAGCATGTGATTTTTGCAGGGGGAGAACTTTGAAAAGCAAATGGATGTTTTTTTTCCTGCTGCTTAGCTTTGGAAATAGAGCATTCTTGGAGATCTGAGAAAATTGAGCAGGGTGGAGGAGCTGGTTTTAGGTTTGCTGTGCACATGGAGCTACTGCAATTACCCAGGTGTGGACAGGAGCTGTGGGCAGGATGGGAGCACAGGAAGGAAAGAGGACATGCATTGGGTCAGAACTAGAGCATGGGCACTGAGTGCATGTCACAGCCCTGCCCTGCACTGCACACAGGGTGTATGCAGCCCAGAGCCTGTGCATAGAGCAAGCTCCTGGACTGCCTGACACCTCTGCAGCACCTCTCTGTTCTTGAGTCTAGAAGACCCTGAACAGAAAGGGTAACCCAAAGCCTTTCCCTCCCCTAAATACGTGGATATTAAAACTCAAACTCATGCAAACCAAGTTGTACAATTTGGGCCACATACATCGGGGTGAAATATATATTCCTGCATCTCCAATGAGAAGGAGATGTATGTGGGCAGCATTCTCCTCTCACAGCTGGGCACCCCACCATTGCCACAGGGCACCCTGGCACCCCAAGGCAGGCACAGGGGAAACCTTACTCCCTCTCCCTATCCCCAGTCTTGTTAGAGAATGGGGAGATTTAGTTCCAAAGTTTGGCAGGGATGGGCATCTGTGAATCCCATTCTCTGCCAGGAAATTGCAAGAGAAAAATCTGTTTTGTTTTGTTTTTTTTTAAGATATGGCAAAGGCTTGGACCCAGGAGTGGATCTGGAGTGTGTTCCTGCCCAGCATGCACAGGTTGGGGCAGAGGGGTGTGGTTTCTGCAGAGATGGCCCCTATGCAGCTCCCTGCCTGGGGGATAGCAGCTCAGCATCTCCTGGGGCACCCCCTGGTATTCTGCAGGTCATCACTATTTCACTTCTGGGGGAGAAAAAAAATTTAAAAAAAAAAAAAAAGGAAAGTCAGTATAAATAATTCTAGGTTATTTAAGCTCCAAGAAGTCTTAATCTGTGTGTCACATAAATGGCTTGCAAGATGTCAGGGGTTTTCATTTGGGCTTTTTTAACCTATTTTTACTATTTTTGTATTAATTTAGGGAAAAAAAAATTGTATAATGAATCTCAATGTACAGCATAAGCCTAAAATAAAATGGCTGTCTCTCTCTTTGCTTCCTGTGCTCCCCAAGTGCTGCAGAAACCCATGTCATTGCCCTGCCAGCACAGCAATTTGCCTGTCCTCTCCAAGCAGCCAGGCAGCTGCCACCAGAG